AATTAATTGTCAATCATTGTGATGTACGATAGCCGATGTCCAAACAACGATTGTTGGTCACACACAACCGTTGGATTTTACAGATTATCTTGTATGGTAATTTGCTCGAAGTGCTGTCAACCCCGCTTGTGCATTAAAATTATGAAAAAGTTTTCGGTCTACTTTACCAAGATGGTTCTGTAACTAGATGCGTTTTATAAAATAAGAAGACAAACAAAGTAGGCTTCCAAAAATGATTTACGTATAATTAATTCGAATTTAGAAAATTGGAGTAGAATTTAATACGAAAGCGAGTTGTTTTTTAGAGCTTAGAAACAACATTTAGGTCTATGTTGTGTATGTCTTTGGAATTGAAATATTTCTGTTTTATTATTTAATTCTTTTTGCACAAACAACAAGTCATTGTACAATGGCGGACTTAATGCAAAAGGCATTTTCTCCCAGTCTACCTTTGGGTGGTGGGGAAATGTATGAGTAGGTGCATGAAATTAAAATTAGGTTACATACATACTGAGATACACATACATATATATACTTGCTGAGTTACATACATACATATAGTACATACGTATATAAACATATAGCATATAAGACTTTAGGGATGTGATAAGTCTGCTAGAGTGTCGAGAATTCGAGCTCGGACTTTCGTCTTAAATGAGAGGCGACTGGGTGCTATCCTGATTTCCAAAGGCAGAGCGTTCCAGAGGAGGACAGATTGGATTAAGAACGAAGAGTGGACACATGCGGAAGTATGAGTGGGGCATAACAGAAGTGGATTGTTTAATGAACAACTATAATAATGAACAACTATATGTATATATAATTTATTACGATTTATTAATCGTAATAAAATAGATAAATCACGAGAATTCGCACAGTACGACTGTTAAATAGGACTGGTAGATAGGCAACTAACAATGAGTTTCAGAGTTCAGTGTGATGTTTATTATTGATTTGTAATAATAAAAGTAATGGGTACCAATTATAACCTAGACTGCCACCCCTGCCACCCCGAGCACGTGCGCTTAGACTGCCACTCTAGCGACCTGCCACCCTAGGCATAAGCACCTGCCCGTTTGGCCCTAAGGTAAATAAGCCACTGTCCGTCATGTTTAACATCCTAAGGTACGTGGACTTACTGTAATTAACCATCATTCAGGATTTAGTATTTAGTTGACTAACAAATATAATTAATTATTTCTTCCTACTGTATTACGTTAATGTATTATGTTTTCGATAGTGCTAAAAAAGCATGCATTGGTGCAGTATATGTCTTAAATTACGTTATCTATCGAGGCATAAGAACTACTCAGCTGAAAGTTTTTCAAATTTCTATCTACTTAAGACAGGAATGCTACCTCATTGACTCAAAAACTATTATTTTAGGGAATTAAAAAAGCCTTGATAGTGAACCTGAATGCTTGGTACTTGTTCTCAAGAATAGCATTCTGTACATTATCAATCTTCGTAAAGTGAGTAAGATATGTCCCTATCGACCCAAACGTCATGGTCAGTGCTGAACCTGTCAGCAATGATGCTTTGATTACACTTTCTATGTTCAAACTATTATAAATAAATTCCTTATTTCATACTAGCCAACCCGCGCAGCTACGTCATCTTTTCTCTAAAGGGATAGCCCAACATTAAAATAATTTTTCAATTCGAACCGTTTCTGAGATTACTACGTACATACAAACTCACAAACTTTACCTCTTTATTATATTAGCATAGATATAGATAATCTGTGTGTCGCTTTGCTCTGCAACCTTGAAGATACAAAAGAAATATAAAGTCATAAATACCTTATTCCAAATTGAATCTACACCACACAATAGGATACAGATATGATGCCTTTGGGACGCCTAAAGCTTACATATTTTCCAACCCTACAACGTAGCGCTTACCAACTATGCAGACAATATAAATTAAAAATCTCATAAACTAAACCGCTGGTCCATAAAATTTACATACTAAATTATTTCAACTTAATTAATGGCTTTTAGAAACGCTTTTAATATGTATTTATGGAAAGTAAAACTTAAATATTTAGAGTTTATAGTAGTTATACGAGTTATATCGAGAATAAACTTAATATTCACAGGCTAGTCTGGACTACACCATGATTAGTTCTCAGAGCATGTCACCCAAAGTTAAATGCAGTTTTAGCAAAATTTCTACTCTACCGCGCTCACTAATTTAGTTAGGAAACCATATACGTATACCCATAATAGAGGTACCGTGTTTACCACAAGTTAGTTGCTAGTTTTGGCGAAGAGTGGCTTATGCTAAACATGCGGCGAACTTTGGCGATGCAATCAAATTTAACTGACCGGAGTAAAATTATATGGGTGGTTTATTAAAAACATGATTTAAAAAAGAATAAATCTTATCTAAGTTTAAACATTCACGATACATGTGGGCACATCGGCGATAATACTGATTTACGACTTTCTGAGGTCATTTCAATAATAATAATAGCTAAGTAATAAGTTTAAAAAGACAACTTCGGCACTAGGAATATAATCCTGTGTCGCGGGGACTTAACAAACATACATGTAACGGACACAAAGAACACCCAGACTCAGGATAACAATATATGGATCATGTGGGGATCGAACCAACAACACTGAGCGTAGTAAGAAGCGGCGAGGTGACCGCCTAAACCACTACGCCATACACGTCGCAATAAAACACGCACTAAAATTATTAAGTTTATTTAATTCTTATTCATGCATCCGTACAATTTCCATTGCCTCCTCTTCTATTTTTTTTTTTAAATACTCAAAAAAATTTCGTGTAATCCCTAAAGGTCCAGTTGATGGCAGAAGAATTCATGCCTACGTTTTTGTACCGCATCTGATGATAAACCCAGTGGGTTGCAGGTGTTTATGGGTGGCGGTAGTCATTAACCATCAGCTGACGTATCTGCTCGTTTGTCCTCATATATGGTATAAAAACATAGGCATCTTTCACATTCTTGGCACTTGCCATAAGTGTGACGCCGTTCTTTAAGACCCTCCCCCCACTCCCCCCAAAATCTCCTGATTTTGGTACCGGAACCTGAGTGAGGGTTCACTCAGTAAAAAGCGACGAAAGAATTACTTAACATCAGTTTTCTGTGAGGTGGTGGTATTACTCTCGAGCCGCCATTGCCGAAGTATGACTCTCTCGTGGAAAACCTCTTACCTAACTGGGACTAAAATTATGATTCGCAAAATGAGAGCGTTCATTACGATTTTGTTTCCTCCTTCGAAGACATAGATTTATGTGATTGTAATTATGTACATATCTACGAGTATATGTGTTTTTACTATCTTACAGTCATACTTTATAATAATAAAAAATGCCTTACAAACTATGATACAAAAGATATAAATTTCTAAATAATATAACTGAAATATATTCACATGAATATATTTTAAAATTACAATTGATCTGTGCATTTTCATTTAATTATGTTCTGTCACTAATTACTAATATACATCATCTTGTCTCAACCACTGATTCTTCAATGGCTGAACAGCTTTTAAGAGTGGTGTGATCAACGCCAGTTTTTTTCTCCTGTGTGGATAAACTGTACTCCTTTGGGAAATTGGGATTTTCTTTTAAGAATACTACAATTTCCGTGAGGTCTCTGTCTAGGATTTTGTCCAGGACCTTGCGCTTTTTGATTGCGTCTATCAGATTCCTTAGCAGTTTGCCCTCTGCTGACGTCCCGATGAATCCAATGAAATCAATCCAAATTCCATCTGCTGAGAAAATCAGACTTCCAAAAATAGACCTGGGGATAAATTTAAACCAACTCCAACCAATGAATCGGGTGAATGTCTTGAGTCTGTGGAAGGAGGTCCTAATTTTAATATAAATCAGATAGGCAATGGACCCTAACAAAACCGCAGGGCGATGAAAATTAATATCTCAGAATATATTATGAGAACGGGTCAAAGTCCATTTAGCTATCTCTGACGTCGCGGCGTCACGTTGAACCGCTAAACTCCGTACACCCGAACTACGCTTAAGTTTCAACCTTACGCTTGTGACTTGTTGTTATTTAGAATTCATTTTTGCATTTGACTTTTAATTGCTTGTGATTATTTATTGTTAATGAGTGTGATTCTCTGATCAGTTATATTTTAAGTGTTAATTTAAGAAACTAGCCCCAATTGTAGCTTTTATGGGCTAAACACAAAAAAAAATCAAAATCGGTTTATCTTTTGCGGACTTTTTGCTATTTTACACGTTTATATTAGCTTCACTTGTATGTTTGTATGTTTGTAACCGACTCCTTTGGGCGTGATTTTGACTGACGTTAAACGGTCAGAATTCGTTCAAACCTTGTAGATATATCGAGGAACGATGACAATACACTAATTTAAAAAAAAAATAGTTTTAAAAAACTAAAAAACACGCTTTCTATAGAAAACCAAACTAAAAAATAGAAAATAAATTTGAAAAAAAGCGTGGGGTGCTTTTTACTATTGGCAACAGGCACCCAACGCTTTTTGCATAAGATCTCAAGCCCACCTAAATGTAAGTGATTGGTTGTAAACTGTATCAACAGCAGTGTTGTGTTGTAACATTGTATTATTGACAACTCTATCCTCCCCTCTAATAGAGCTCTGATGGCTGCAGAGTTTTCTTTCTCAGCTAGCCGAATACTGTCTTCTTTTTATAAAAAGTCAGCAATTTCTTTTTATCATTAATGTCGAAGCTTAGGCGCCCGCATTAATATATTACATCACTAATCTTTGTTCTTAGTAAATATCCAAAATGTTAATCAGGTAATGTATTTCTACTTCACGTACAATTTTCTAACGTAATTAATAATGTATGGGCTATATACATCCCATTTGTTAATGTAATTAATTTTGTAAATAAGAAAAATAATATGATTTTATTATCTGAGTGCGAATGTCCTTACCCCGACTGTGTAAGATAAAAGCAAAAAACTATAATGCGCTTTTTTTTTCTTTTACAGATAATCACAACCCCAGACTGATATGATTCGTGTCTGGTGCGGCTACTTGACATTTATTCTCGTCCTTACTGAGACTGGAAGCGATTGGTTAAGCTGTGCTCATATTGCAGAATGCCACTGCAAATGGTCATCTGGAAAAAAGACGGCGTCTTGCGTCACAGCAGGATTAAAAACATTACCCGAGTTATCAGCTGATATTCAAGTACTTGACTTACATGGAAATCCTTTGAAGAAACTAGGAGAAGATGCTTTTGCAAACATAGATCTTTTAAATCTTCAGAGATTAAACCTTAGTTTAACAAGCTTACGTTCATTACATCAAAACACCTTCAGAGAACTACGAATATTAATAGAATTAGATTTGTCGCAAAATAATTTACTTCAACTATCACCTGATACGTTTAAAGGTGCGGATCGTTTAAGACTTTTGATCCTTAACGACAATCCCTTAAGCTTTTTAATTAAAGAGCAATTTCCACCGCTAAAACATTTAAAAAAACTAGAATTATCAAGATGTAAACTTCAAACTATACATCCGTTTGCGTTTGTGAACCTCCAAGCACTAGAAACTGTAAACATACATCAAAACTTACTCACTTTTCTCCATGAAAACACATTTAATCTACCCGTATTAAAAACTTTGACCCTATCAGATAATCCTTGGTACTGCGATTGTAGATTACGGGAGTTCCATGATTGGTTTTTAAACAGCAATCTTGGTAATGAAGACGTATTCTGTAGTGGCCCAGAAAGAAAAGCGCATTTTTCATGGCGCGCATTGAAAAGAGACAATCTAGTATGCTTACCATCAGCGTTATCGTCACCTACAATCATAAGAACAGAAACTGGTGCTGACATAACTTTTGGTTGCTTTGTAAGAGGAGATCCTATACCAACAGTAACGTGGTCATTTCGTCATAGAGATGTGTACAATAGTACTAACACAAATAGTGAAATTTTAATACTTAAATACCAGTTAGAAAATTTCGATGAATACAATAATGATTTTCTGAACAAAAGTGCGCAGTGGGTGAATGTTACTATTAGCAATGTTACCAGTGACTTATCCGGAGAGTGGAAATGTAGTGCCAAAAGTATGGTGGGAGAAGCTAGTGCATATCTTACCCTATTTTTACCTAAGGCCAGGACAGCAACTGCCCGAGTTGCGCCAGACTATTCCACATTTTTTTTAGTGGGTGGGTCAATGCTTGCAATGATGATGGCAGGTTTTATCGCTGCCTGTGTTTGCTGGAAAACAAAGCGCCGAAGAGTACCACCGAGCAGAAGCTTTACAGATCAAGAAAAAAAGTTATTAGATACGTCACTAGCCGTCAGCTGCGATAGAACGAGTGGAGACTTAGGGTCATCCTATGGATTCGAAATGTTAGACAGATCTATTTCAATGGAATCTGATGATGCGAGATGTTTAGAACCTGTTCAAATAACAATAGAGGGCCCCCCTGGAAGTTTTCCTCCCCCACCTGCAGAGTTTGCCTTGCCAGCTCCTTATGGCAACATTTTTATATCTGTCCAAGTTGGTGGTCATAGTGATTCTGAGTATCCAGATCTTTTAGGAGGTGGGGCAACATTGCCACGGCGAAGTAGAACTTGTTTCTTGAAATCTGCTTATGATAATATGGGTCCCAGGATTACGGCGGCTGGCAGCTCCACTTGGTCACTTCCAGGTGCTAATGATGACAAAAGTACGGATATTAAAGACCCTTTGAGTGTTCCATTATCTACCTTTTCTACTGAATTTACTGCTTTGTAAATAAATTAAGAAATATTGAAGTAACTTAAAGACTCTGTAGAACATTTAAAAGCGTTCAATACTTTACATTTTTCATAATTTTAACCAAAGAACTTTATTTTTTTGTTCCTCTTAAAACAAATATGTTCATGGACTGAATACATTGTACAAATATAAAAATAAAACAATCATGTATTAATATTATATTTAGGTATTTCGTTGTTAATTGTGTCATAATTGTTTTTGTTATAATAGTAATTGGTTAGTATATACAGATATCATTTCTACTTTTATGTTTTAATTCATTTGTGGTCATATTTTAGGCACGTAACGTGTTAACGCTTTAGAGATATGCTTAACTTTACCATCTCAAAAAGTCGTAAATTAGATTTAAAGTTGATGACAAAACTAAGCGAAACGAAATTGTTTTATTGATCTATTTATCTGATATTTAACATTAAGGAATTTGAATTTATAACATGTAGTTTAAAAATGGCCATTTAAATCTGACTAAATCAAAATAATTTCAACTACACGTAACGTTCCCAAAAAATTGATCACCTCCTTCTGTATGTAAAATATTGGATACGTAAACACATTATAGTTTTCTACTAAAAATACGCTAACTAATGATTGTATATGTATGTACCTAAGTTTTAATTATAATCGTGTAAGATTTACAAGAAAAACAATTCGTCACATATCAATTTATACCTGTAAACACTATGTTTGTGTTATCAATTTGAATTGAAACCATGTGCATATGCAGCATAAAGTATACGAAAAATATTTACTACCAAAACTGTTGGTCATAACTGTGATGGACAACTAGACCAATATTTGATTTTAAGATTTAAAATATGCATGTGGGAACAACCAGGCTTGTTCAATCATTGTTTATTGTGTAAAACCTGAACGTGTTTTCGTCTTTCACTGAATAATGATGATGAGTGACTTCAATCATTATTTATTTATTATTATTTATATAAACACAAAAGATACATGACTTTAACTATTGTTTTTCTAGGATATTAGAAGAACATATGTCCAGATGTAGCCTAAGCTAAAGTTTTGACCAAAGCATAGCTTTCAATATAACAGTAATGTTATAATAAACAATAACATAATTTAGAAGAAATGAGACCACTCTACTATATGTATACTAAGTAATCACGTTACTGATATTCAAACAGGTGGCACGTTAATTTTAATATTGAAAACGAACAATGCACGGAAGCTGTTGTCCACAAAACTGTATAGTACCAGATAAGTTTACATATAAAAATAAATTATAAATTTATAAGAATTTGTTCGCAGATCGTTGCTTTAAATTCGAGTGATGAAATAATAAAAGAAGTGCAACTATCTGTGTGTCTCTTTATTTTTTTGCTAAAATCTTAGAATAACGTTTCATTATTAAAGTAAACGAAGCATGACTACTAGCCTATCAACTTCAAGCTACTAATTAATGTGAATTTGTTGTTTATGTAATTCCTATTTAAGGTATTGTTTGCATAACGCAGGCTGTTCCAAAAATTGTTAGTAAAAAGAAAAATATATGGAACGTGATCAAAATTTATTTATAGCTTTATAAAAAAATCCCTTCAGCCCAATGCTCATGCATTGGGGTTAAACAGCTTTTTAATCATTTAAAAATGTATCTTGCGGGAGTTTAAACAATAACCCCCGAAAGTTTTCTTCTACAGTAGTACATGTTCGCCCACCAAACTCATTTTTTACCGAACGAAATAAAAAAAAACAGGAGATAAATCTGAGCGGATGGGATAATATTTATTCCCTAAGTATTCAAATGGTCCATGGTGATAGCATTTGTGTGTGCACACAAATGGCGCGTTTTCTTGGTGAAAAAGAATGCAGCGGACACCACCCCTTTGTTGCTCGCTATTCAATTTTATAAAAGCTTGAGACAGAAAAAATTTCAATACCATTTACTCGTAACTGTTCTACGGTCTTCTAGCCGAATTATTGCTGCTGGTTTACTGCGTCGAAAAAAACCGCTATCATTTTTATTAGCGCCTGATCGCGAACAAAACAGTTAGTAGCGGTCAGAGCTCTAATAAAAATGATAGCGGTTTTTAGAGGCAACTTCTTCTTCTTCTTAAACCATAACTTGCATGGATTGTTGCTTTGTGATATGATCGTAGATGCAGATCCAAGTTTCGTTGGTTAAGTAAGGGTAAGGATATAGGCTAAGTTTTACGAAGTTTCTCCTTTGATTTTTTCTAGCATAAATGTGCACCAATGAACACGACGGGATTTGTGTTCTCCGTCGAGAGAATAAGGTTAAGTCGGCAACTTTGTTGTGTTCTTGTAGGTTAATGAAACCTACCCGTGACCCAATCTTCAGTTTAACCTGAGTCTCTGGATGTATAATATATTTATTCTCCCGCAATATCCACTCTACCCTGATGACACTTAAAAAAAAAGATGATATTTTCACGATTTAATGATAACGCGCGTAAGAGGACTTATATGTCACACATCAAAAGATTGACATATTTACGAATACGTTTAAATAATATTAATAAGAGAACTACGCATATAGGTGGCCATTGATTTTCAGCAACGAAATTTGTATTGACATTAGCCGTCAAAACAAAATAGTTACAAGAAAAAAGAGATTGTATTTATTCTGTAAACAACTTTTGGAACAACCTAGGTAGTTGCTATACAATCTTTTATATGTTCGAGCTGTAGTCATTACTAGAATGTTTCCAAATTTATTAGAATTTAACAAAAGTTCAAAATTTCTGAAAATAATAAGTAAATGTCATGTTATGGTTATGTCGTTTTTAGTAACTTTTCTTGACACAATGTCACCGCTTCATACTTCAGTTGGTTAGATATCGCACATTTTTATAAATGTATACTGAATTTATAGAAATTTAAAAAAATACTCATTTTTAATTAAACAAAAAAACTTTTTAGACACGCTGTGGATAACATTTAGAAAGAAAATTGAACCTTAATACAAAGTCAATAATAATGAACAGGGTTTCACAGGGTCGTAAATTTCGCCCACTACAATCGATTATTTATGACCCCCAGAGTCCATGAAACATTTATTAGGCAAGTTATTATCATAGTGCTGGAGCGGTACGACCCTAAGTTATTGTGAGATTATAGATTGTCCAAGTATACCTAATGTTGGTTGCCTTATAACAAAATTAAATTCAAAAGAAATATATACTAATATGTTTCTTTTGAATTTTTAAATTATAACTGATATATTTATCGACAGACGACCGGATGGCGTAGTGGTTTGTGTAACAGACTGCTATTCCAAAGGTCGCGGGTTCGATTCCCGCTCATTTCAAACATTTGTGTGCAGGAACATTTAATGTTTGATTTGGTCTGGATGTTTCTATGTATAATAAGTATGTATTTATAAAAAAAGTATATACTCGTATTTATTTATACTCGTATCAGTTGTCTAGTACCCATAGAACAAGCTCTGCTTAGTTTGGGACTAGATGGCGTTGTGTGAATGTGGTAGAATATTTAATTTTGATCGTCTCAACGTAGGCTAGACATGATTTAATTATTTATTAATGAGTACTACCACATCGTACATGTTATACATATATTACTAATTTTAATGACATGTGGCATTATATCTGATATGTAGAACAATTGCGGTGTACATATCATTTATCTGTATTTAGCATTTAGCTGCAATGTGGTAGTGTAGCTCCGTGTGGTGACGGATTAAGAATACAGAGTGTCACCACCCCTATTCATCCCGTGGGTGTCGTAAGAGCCGACTACGGGAAAAAACTAAGCATAACAACATCACTGCAGAGAGAAGGAAAACTTGACACAAACCCTATACCAACACGTCTGGCCAGCGAGGTATAGTAGGCCAAAACCTCCTTTCTAAGGAGAAGCCTATGTCCAGCAGTGGACTGGTAAAGGCTGTTGATGGTAGTGTATTAAAAACAATAAACTAAAGAGCAATATACTTGTTAGTTTATATTAACATATTAAAGTAAAACAATTCATTTATATTGTTTTTGAATTAGTAGCTAGTGATCCAGAATGCGGGTGCCAGATCTGAGGTCCTGGGTTCCTGATACTCGAGCGGGAGGGACGCCAAGGGCAGCAACGAACTTGTGACTTTCGAGTTGCAGGTGTCCATTGGCAGCGGTAGTTGTTTACCATCTGGTGACCCGTCTGCTTGTTGCGTGCCCCCTTATACCATTTAAAAAAAAAAATTGAAAATAATTAATTGTGTGATGGTTTTTTTCTATGATTACTGTAACTCATTTCGAATATTAAATATAATATGCATTTACTAATCACCATGTGACCGGACTGATTGTTTACCTCCTATAAAAAGCAATTTGTAGTAAACAATATCAAACTAAGCAATTTAGTGAGTACAAATCCAATGTCATGTTAATTTGAACAAAGTAACACAAAACAAATATGTAACAAAAATAAAATAACAAACTCAATCATAATTCCATTATGTATTTTTAACATTACCCGAAATAATATTTTATCGAGCCGATGACGGAACTCTGTACAATCAATCGGTTATCTACGGTTTTCAATCTGTAAAATGGACGAGAAATGCTATAAAAGGGAAATAAGTTGGCGGTAATTCATTTTAGAGTAGCTGCAGGTTTTTGATTGTTGTTACTGTAATTTTAAAGTAATGGTAGTTTAAATTTCATCAGGAATTAAGATAGTGATTTTGCTATGAATTGAGAATTTAAATTCAATTTAAGATGTTTAAAATATATAAGTATTCTTAGCTCAGATATGATAAAGGTAGAAAACTTGCATTCAATTAAAATTGATTGCTTTTATGTCTAGAAAATTGCAAAGGTTTTTCAAGAAAACTTTCAAGTTTGATTTATATAATATATGTATTTTATATTAACTACAAGATGAGATACAGAGAACGCTTACCGATAGACAATCCTGGCTAATCAGAAATCTTTGTAAATACTTATTATTGCCAATACGAGAACTACTAAAAACAATATACTTAA